CCCCTCCTCCCCCTCCTCCCCCTCGGCGTTGGTGAGCTTCTCTCGCCGCTCCCCCGCGTGCGCCGCCAAGCAGGAGTCGTCGAGCTTGAAGAGGAGAGCGAAGCCCATCTCCAGGGCTCGGGGAGGTAGGAAGTGCTTCCGTCCCCTGCACATGTGTAGGGTGTTTCTCGAGTGTCAGGGATGGAAGCAAACATGACGATCCTTTGTCGTAAGTGGCGGGGGAGTGCTGACTAGAAGGTATGCGAGGATGGCGTGGTGAATTTTGTTTTTTGGTAGGAGAACTTCAAGATCTAGAGGGTGTGTGCTGGCTTGCACGTGTACGCTAGCCAACAGCAGTTCAGTGAGAAAGAGCAGACTGTGCGGCAAAAAAAACAAAGCAGGCCTGGAAAATAACAAATACGTACTTGTCGACTGACCGCCACGGGTATATTTAGAATGAAGTTGGCAAGTCACACAAACATAGATGTAGGCCAAAACCAAATCCAACCGACGGGCGCAGGGTTTTTCTTGTTTTTCCCCTCTCTCATCCTCTCATCTCCAGGCGTGCGCATTTGGGGGCAGGCGGTTCGAAAACGTTCCGGACTCATCCAGGACAACTTTGAGAACAACAACAACAAAAAAGGAGTTAGCAAGGCGAAACTCAATAACAAATCCACAACCGTTGGCGTCATTTTCTTCAGCATGCTAACGCCTACTACGCACACTTCATTCTCGACCAAGAAATGATTCATTCATTGTGACATTCTTACTCCTCCAATTTTCAGTAGTACCAATGTTTTGTTTTGTTTTGGGTACTTTTTTATTTTCAGTTTTGGGGACGCAGTATGTACCTGACCATGAAGGAACCGGTGACGAGGTACTCTCCCGTAGGCGCGGTTTTGCTAACCTAAGCAGGCGTTCGAGCAGTCAAGGAAGGGCGCCGGCGAAAGGAGGGAGAGGCGGGGAGTCTGTTTTCCCTGCACAGCCGTAGGATATCGTATCCCCACAAAGCTTGGATAGGGCGCAACCGGTGTCTACCCCTATTCGACGGGCTGGTGGTGGTTAATTCTCAGGGATGGGGGATGCAGACAGGCGGAAGAGATTACAACAGATGCCGAAAGCCTACTTCATACTCCTATCTAGCGTCGAACAAAGACTGGTCGGCAAGACTAGCCCCTGTCGCTGTGTCTGGGGTGCCAGCCCTCTGCCTGCCATATAAGAGCAGCGCGTGCACGGAATCGCAGAGCCGACGGGTCGACTCGAACTCGAACTCGCAACTAGCACTCTTATTTCCTACACCCGTAATGATGGCTCCTTGGACTCGGTTGGAAAAAATGAGACTTGAGTAGCAGAGATAACCAGGATACAGGGAAGCAAGCGCAAACGAACCAGGCACACACACAAGCACCGGTCGCACGGCAGCAGCACAAAGCAAAACAATCTCCACTTGGTGCTGAAAAATCGAACAACACCGTCTACAGGTATGTATGCAATACACCAGCAGCAGTCCGTACAGAGACGGCAGCCCCAAAATTGCGCGGCAGGTGTCTCGCGTCTATAATAGTGCTGCGATTCCAAGACACCCGTGCATATATACGCGGAAATTTCACAAACCATGTCTTGACCTGATCAGCGTAGACCCACCACGCCGACGTGACCATCTTGGCCCCCCAGGCCCCGCTCCTGCAAACGGTCATGCAGCCCGCCTCTTCCAGGGCCAGCGGCGACACCGCCCTCTTTCCGGAAGGGTCCTGATTTTCATGTTGTTTTAAATAAAGGGACGGATCGAAAGAGAAACGATAAGCAAAACCCAGCAGACACTCGTGAGAACACGATCCACAAGATCGGGTACAACGACAGCTACGAACCAACATAGTTCTAGTTCCAGAGCACAAGGTCCATGAGAGGGCGACAACAACAGCAGTTACCGGCGTAAGTCGTGAGCACACGATCAATACGAGGGCGGCAACAACAGCAGGCTACAATACCGGAATGTATTTCGTGAGCACGCAAGCCATGGGCAGGGCGAGGGAGGCGACGAGGGCCGTTCCTCGGGAGGGAGGGGTCGGTGATCACTAAACCAATCAACGCTCGAGTGACGGGGAAACGAAAAAAAAAAAAAACTACAAAAACGGGGTACGACGAGGCAACACCGGCTGTCTGGGAGAAGGAGAAGGAGGTGGACGCGGCACTCAAAGCGTCGCGGCGGCTGTACGCGGCCTTGATCGATGGCAACAGCCTGATAGAATTACGTGCAGGGCAAATACTCAAGAAAGATTCGAGCCAAGCCAGACAGAACCATACATAGTTCCCACTCCATCTGTGCCGACGAGTACCCCTCCGAGCGAATCCGCCTCCACACAAAGACTCCGCTCCAACCACCCACCCATCCTCCGCACCAAAGAGCCCCCGCTCCGAACGAGCACCTATCAGTGTTCCAATGTTCCAATGCCAAAGCCACCAACCCTGGAAAAAAAAAATAAACACTCTTATTGACTTTCCTGCTCCACAACCATTGCTTGACAATAGAAGGCAAAAAAAAAAAAAAAACACTCTAATAGACTTTCCTGCTCCACAACCATTGCTTGACAATAGAAGGCAACAACAACAACAACTACAACAACATGAAACAAAGCTTACCTTGTTCCGGACGACGCAGGAGGAGGCGCCGTGGAGGTCGGCGTGCACGTAGATGTCTCCGGGCCTCAGGTACTTCTTCACCACCACCTCGTTCTGCTGGGCGTTCCTGCCGCTGATGACGAGGTAGTTCTCGGACGAGATGAACCAGTTGAACTTCTCGAACCAGTACACCTTGCGAGCCACCTGGAGGCTCCGCTTGTGAGCCTGCCATGGCACACGCATTCACACACACAAGAGGCGATTGCTAAGTACTTTTCGCACGATGGCCTTTTCTCCCGTTGCATGCAAGTGAGCGCGCAGGAACTTGCACGTCCCACATTCACGAAGAGGCGGTTGATAAGTACCGTACTGTTGTACGATGACCTTTCTCGCGGGCACGGAAGCGAGCGGGGTAACTTGCAGGTCTCTTTTACTAGATCAAGAGCTCAACTTGTTGCTTCGGCTGTCGGGAGCCAACCCCGCCTCTGACTGACTGACTCCCTCGCCACCTGCACGCAACACGTTCATCGCTCTCTGTCTCTCTCTGTCTCTCTGTCTCTCTCTCTCTCTCTCTCTCTCTCTCTCTCTCTCTCTCTCTCTCTCTCTCTCTCTCTCTCTCTCTCCCTCTTTCTCTTCTCTTCCCTCCCTCTTCTT